TATATAGTTTTAACCAGTTAAACAGTCAAAAAAATTAGAAAAAAAAATATTCAAAATAAAATTAATTTTAAGCTATTTTATTTTCTGCAAAGTAAACTCAATAAATTTTTGATTAAATTCGTTAATTATTATCTTTTTTCTCACAATATATTAAAAAAATAAAAAAGCTTAAATATTAGTATACAATTTTTTTAAAACTATATCGAGCACAAAAATTTAGTATAAATTTCTTATTTATTATTGGCTAGACCAAAAACCTTTTTTTCACTTGACTTTATTAAAAAAACAAACAAATTATAAATATTGCCTACAAAAACGTTTTGAGGCCTATTTTATGCAGTTGCATACCAAAATTATAATGAGTTTTAATCCCTGTTTTTGTAAGTCTCAACTGATCATTAAGGCGTTTTCCATGGTTTTAGTCTGCTTTTAAAAGTCCCCGTTGATTGTTGAGGTGTTTTCCATAACGAAAAAATGTCAAACTTGTCGCCTTAAGGGGCACACTTAATTTATAATTTTAAAAAATTCATATTTTTCCATATTTGAAAAGATTATATCTTTCTAAATAACATACCATAATTTTACAACGATGAACTAGTTTTGAAATTACTGCATTGTAAAGAGTAGTCGCTCAGATCAAACACCTCCAACAATCGTTAAGTGTGTTTTACTTTAAACTAAATATTTCAAATTTACGGAGAAGGACGCAATCACTGCAGTAGTGCTGGGCCATTCTTAGTCGGAGACTGCGTATAATTTAAAATGTCTTAAATTCTTTTTTTCAAACATTTTACTGTGTATTCTTAAAAAAAGTTACACATTACATTTTTTCACATTACTTTTTTTTTTTGTTTTCATGGCGTTGTAGTCTCTTCATGCACCGCCTTMATTTTTAACCCAATTTACATTTTTTTTTCCTTTTTTAATAACAAAATTCATTCCACAAAAATTTTTWTATTTKTATTTATYCACGTGCTAACCGACATCTGTGCGATTAGCTAAATACTCACTTGCCTGTGTTGACATAAGTAATTTCTTTATCTAATTGCTAAATGCTAGTTCTGACACAATAAGTAAATTTAGATTAGATCTAATTATAGCCACGCGTATGTATTAATTATATACTGTAAATGCCATACACATTAGCGGAACTGGCAATTAGAAGATTGACATAATTTGGCAAGTTCAAGGCAAATCACAGCTGGTAGAGCAACTCGCTCAGGGAATTTCGTTGATTAGATAAATGCATAGAGAATGCTAGATTGAGCATGGCATCGATGAAATATAATATTTCTTGTTGAGAAATTTTTTCAAAAATTATTAYTATTTATTAAATATTTTAGTGATTTATTGGATCACAAATGACAAGGGAGAGATATCTAAGAAAAGAGTAACCTGCATAGTTGTTCCTCCAAAAAAGAATTTTGTCACCTATTTGTGATACGCACGAGCATAACTCAATTTTGTAGCATTTCACACTGGCATTTCTCTCTTCTTCTTTTTCGAAAGCATAATAATCTGAATTTAAATGAAATATAAATAAAAATACTTCTCGAGCTTCTGCTGTTCCTCTCTCCACATTTTATGCGAATGATATTCTCATTAGCTCAGTCACTCACACCCCAAGCAATCGTATTATTGTCACTTACACAGAAATGTTTGCATACAATTATTAAATAATTACAACGATTTTASTATAATCAGTCATGCCTACAAGAGAGACAACATTTAAGACAATACTTTCAGAAATTAGAAGGTGCAAGTGATTATTATTTAAATACTGAAACCCACTTGGCTTCTTTTATTTATGAATTGTGCCTAGTAGGTTTAATTAACAGTAATAAATATTTTTTATGTCCTGAACAGAGTATATTAAGTAACGTCTACGAAAGAATCRAACTCAGTCGACTCTGCGCCGCCGGTGTATGTGCGAAGATTTTGAGATATTAATCTGAAATTTKACACATATCATTTTTTTCTCAAAAAGCTTCTCTTTTGTTGSAATCGTGGATATTTAACAACTATACCATATAGCTGTCATACAAACTGACCGGTTAAAATCAAGTATTTGTATGGAAAACTTTTTWWTTKRAA